AAAAAAGAAAAACGAAATATTCAGCTGAAAATTTCGAATTTTTATTCAACGTAATCAACAAATATACTTCAGTTCTAACGCAACAGTTGAAGATTCGATGAAAAATCTTTGTCTCCAAGATACCAAATACGCAATGAAGTTATCGACAGGAAATTCATGTTACGTCGAAGACGAAATAATACCCGATCGCTTTATCTACGAGACCAACTGAACGTGGCTGTAATCCAAAATTCGGGGCACTAAATCACGCATGATTTATCAGTGGTTAAGTTGGAATCGCCCGGGCTGGAACGGATTAAAGTTAGTCAGAGAATCGTACGGCGATCGTGTGCTCTCTCTCTCTCTCTCTCTCTCTCCAAGTTGCGGCGAACAGAGAGAAGGTCACGTTGGCTTCCAGCCACCGCGATCCAGAAACCGTGTTCCGTTCTCCGATGGCGGATCTCCCAAGGATTCGTTACCTCCCGGTGGCAACAGCGCGTCCACTCGAATTGAAAGTGGAGGAAACACGGAAATTCCGGGGCTCCTGTTAAATCTCTGTTGGAAATCAGTTTTGGTAGACGGATAGAGAACGGTTTGGTCTTGAGTTGGTGACGGGCACTCGGTGGTGAAAGGATGGGGGCCGTGGGTTACGGAGGCGTTCTAATCGGCTTGCACGCTATAACTTTCGCGCACCTCCGCAAATAGATAAGCTCGTTGCCCGAGATGGTTAAGCTCGAGGCGTGTTTTCATCGGCACCTCTGCTTAAGTTTCGCGGAAATCCCATCGAGGTTCTCCCCCTCGAAACGAAAGTGTTTAAAGAAAGTTGCCGCGCCTTCGCTGCGAGTCCTGGCTGCGAGTTCCTCGAGAAACTCTCGGTTCGATCGTTCGAAATTCGCGGGAGCGAAGTTTGGATTAAATTCACGACGCGAGGGGGGAGAAACGTGAATTGGGTGGTTACCTGGTCCGACGAACGAACGAATGAGAAAGAAACAAGGATACTCTGATTTCGAGCGCGGAGTCAAGCTCGTGAATATTTCGAGCGTCCAAATATTAGCGTCGAGCGTTCAATTTTGTAAAATTATTTAAAATTTAATTACAGTGCAGCAATGGCGACTGACGATAGATGTTATTTTGAATACAGTTTCGTGAAAGAGAGAAACACGTACAATGCAATCAAGTTGGAGTCATTTTAAAACGTAGAATCTGTATTTTGACACTGTTAAGTTCGTTTTTTAAACTAAGAATAGTTTAAAATATTCTTATATATTTTAAAATATATAATATAATTATAAATATTATATATATTATAATATATATAATATAATTATAAATATTATATTATATTAAAATATATATATATATGTTTTAAAATATTCTTATATTTTTTAAAATAAGAATACTTTCGCCTCCAAAAACGTTGGAGAAAATATTTCATGACTAAATCTGCTGAACTTTTTCCTTTTTATTGCATGTACTTTGAACATTAAGTTGAACGACAGAAAGTTCAAGAAACTTTACACTCAATCATATTTTCATCAAACAGCTAGCAATTGCTAGAACTGTGTTGCAAAATAAAACAGTTCAGTTACAGTAATAACATTCGAGGCACATAGTATTATTGTACTAATTTTAACAGACATTTGACACAGTTCATTCACTTGACAAGTCACTCCAGATCGTTTGTCTAGAAATAGTTCGATAAGGTGTACACTGTGACGCATTTATAATTGGCGATGGGTAGTGCGAGGTTTGTCTGACGACGAATGTGCCATTTCCCCTTCGGTGACAAACGAAGTCCTTGATCTCGCTTGAGGAAGAGTCACGTTCGTTGCGCACGAAATGCGGTGGCGACGCACGTGCTGTAACAATCTGTCACGTGGAATATTCTAACGCTCGAACGCGTGCACTTGATGCTCGCGGTAGATAAATTTACGCGTTTCTATCGTAATTTAAGTTAGACATCCAGTCGATCAGCCGTTCAAAATTGTCAACGTACGAGAGCGACACTCGTCAAGATATGGCCAGATTCTTAATAAAAAATTTCGCTATTCGCAAACGTTCCTGAAAACGCAATACAATCTTATTCGTTACAACACTCGTCATTGTAACTTCGATTCGGCAAACACAAGCGTACATTTCGTAATGTGTGTTCATGAACACATGCTTCAGTGACGCGTTATGTAAGTACATAAATTTCTGATGTTGATTTTGATTCTATATGATTTTTAAATCGACAGCTACCTCGAGAAAACTGTGTGAAATATTCACACGATCGTAACCAATCGACTGAAAACAGTTTCAGTGGAATAAGAATTCTCAGCTCAACTGTCTTAAAGGGGGACAATGACTTAATCTTTGCAATTCCGACAGCGTGTCGTCCGACGTTTCACCAATGATTTCATCGGTACCACGGTAACAAACGGTTCGCGCGTACGCTCAATTTAGCCGGCAACAAGGCGGATCGTCGTTTCTTTGACACCTCAAAGGGGTAACCGCGAAACTTGGAAAATGTTAATTAGAATTCCGCGCGGCGGAACGGTCTCGAAATGAAGCCGAGCGCGCACGTGCACCACCACCGTGCTACATAATTCCATCTAGCCCCTTTACATTATTCATCGTCGAAAATCGGCCGTGCCCAAAGAATGGCGGTGAAACGCGGAAGCGGCGGCGCAACCGGTTGAAAACGCCGGAGGGAATCCTCCGTCGCTTAAAACCGTCATTTCGCGAATTAATTAGACGCCATTCACGTCCTCGCAGCCGGGGCGACGTTTTCTTCGACGCCAAATGCCCGCGCGTTTTCCCATCGCGAATGAATTTCATTGTCGGTTGCTGGTTCTTCCACCACCGCGCGTAATCGACGTTACACCGTTTACACTGTGGGATCTGAATTGTTCTTAACTGGACTGGTAATTGAGAGATGCTTGAGAGAACTGTTAAGCAAATTGATAATCTAAACGCGCCGAGCGATTAACCACGTGCCTCGTCTGGCTTTAAACAGCTCGATCCACTTCAGACTGCCTTTCGATTGTCAATACTACTGAACGTACTTGTATCTTTTAATACCGGTGACTACTGAACGTACTTGTAACTTTTAATACTGGTGACTGTGTGAATTAAGAGAGTGCAATGTAATGGCACATCTTCTGTTTCTTGAAATATCTTTACATGCTAAACTAATTGTAATTTATTAATATCAAGCATGTTTTTCAGTGTGTAACTTTTGTTTTCCAATACTGGGGGATGTATTCGAAGTTAAGAATCAAGAAAGTTAAAATAACATATTAATATCAAGCATGCCTGTCAATATGTTTTAATTGTTTTTTTTTTTTTTCCATACTAGTGTATAACATGCAAGTTACTTTCAAGTTTGACTACTAGTCATGTGTAAAATGGAACAAGAATATATCGACAAATCTTTTGTTTCTAAAAATGTATGTTATATTTATTAATATCAAGCATATTTTTTCTTTCAATACTAGTTACATGTTTGACCTTCTATACTAATAGAAGTATTTAAAGTGCATCAGAAAAATAAATATTCTTGAAATGTCTTTACATACTAAACTAAACAAACAAACTTTAACCAACTTTAACAAACTTTAAATTGTAGTAATTTCTGAAAAACGAAAACGTTAATACTTTCTCGTAGAGATTGAAATCTCGGCTATACGTGTGAAATACGCATAAAATTAGTTCCAGACTACGTTCCATTCCACGTTACTTGATTTTAATTTATAACATCTTATTTCCATTTCTATCAGTTTAAAGAATTCTTTCAATTGCACAAATTACACTTTGTACTCGAGTGGATCGTGCTTTTTACATTAGCTTCGTTGAATTTTCCAACGAATTATGCTCAGTGATCAAATTATGAATATGCACTTCGTTTGATGCTCGTTACGAGACCATTGCTCGGAGATGGATCGCTCTAAGGATTTGCAGAACTCGAAATATTTTTGCCAATACTTCTTGAAGAGACTTCTTCCAATAAAGAGGAAGTTCGTGTATTGGGGCAGTGTACAACTATTCAGGATGATAGGGTAGACACAGTGTGAAAGACGTTTTGTTTTGCCAGTGTTATTTCAGAAAATTCATTCTTGGGCTTGGGTCAAAGAAAACTAATTAAACTTGCAGCGCGAGTTCGAAAGATATCCTTATCGAGCGAAGTTTGCCTGCTACTAGCTTTTGTATCGGCAGTCAATGTCGCGATTATATTCGAATAAAGAGTGATCGATGCGAGCTAGAATATAATACCAACCTTCTTTGGAATTATTATATTGGGTGATCCAAATTGATCGTCAGAGATACACGTTTGCGTAATTTGACGACTAGTTTACATTACACAACAGAACCAATAATGACGAAAGATTGTCAAAATTTCAAAGTTTGATAAGATGAGTGAGGATATGTTTTTCTTTGGGAAATTGTAAAAATTCCAAAGTCTTTTGAAAGATTGAAAAATCCTTAACTAGATCCATCACGGTCTTGAAGGTTGGAATTTTCTCTTTACAACGAACCTCTTAAAACTTGCTGTATGATTTTCCCTCGTCATTTTATTGAATTTGGGACATTAGGGTTAAACGATGAATCACTTGAATCTTTGTCGTTCAATCTTCACATTCGAAGTTTAATCGAGGGGAGAGAGAAATTGCACGGCAAATTTGAAGGCGTCGTTCTAAAGAGGAGACATCGATTTTTAAAGCCTTTGAAAATTTTTCGAGGCGCTCGAATTGTTCATCGACAACGAAGAATTTTTCTATCCTAATATTTAATCCTAATATTTAAAGTTTAATAAAACAGCGAGGAAAAAAAGTCGCACAGCAAATTTTAAGAATAGAATTGTAGAGGAATACTAGCTATGAAGAAAATTCGAATTTTTACAATCTTTTACGCTTCAAATGGTTTTACTTTTACGAACAGCTGTGACGTTGTTCGAGATACCGGCAATTTTTCATCGTTGTTGGTTCAGTTCACGCTGTTCACCGCGAGAAAAAGCGAAGAGAAATAAAGCGGCTGCTCACCGTAGTCGTCCTCGTAGATAATGGCGACCTTGGTCCAGTTGAGAAACTCCATGATGTCCTGATAAGCGGCGTTGAGCAAACTTTGTGCGGGATAGAGGTTGATGCTGAACTCTTTCGCCTCCGTGTCCAGGTCCAGCCTGGCTTCCAGATGTGGAATGTCCAGTGCGTCGCAGATGCTGTGAATGTGTTGGCCCAGGATCGGATCCGATGGGCCGAATACTGCCTGCACCCCGTACTTGACCTGTTGACACGCTGCAACAAATCGTGGATATCGGTCATTCCTTCGCAACTACGAATTCTAGCCTTAAAAATATGTAAGAAATACTGGACTTTGTAGTAAATTGTAACAATCCTAAAATTTCTAAGAATCTAAGAGACAATACTTTCTGAATTAACCTTGACAGATTCGTTGACGCTCGAGAAAGAATCAAATTCGTCCTCTGAATGTGATAACAAATTTTAGCATTTGTTTTATTGCCAGTTCTGTATTTCTTCTTCTACTGTTTCATAGTCATCTCAAACAAATAGCTGATGCTTTTTAAAACTTTTCAATTCAAAATCTCTATTAAAATTTCAACGACGTACTTTATTAGCTATTATAATATTAGCTAAGAATATTGAATATTCTTTGTGAGTATTTATTAAGTGTATATGTTTAGGTTAAACGAAAGAGATTCGTTTGAATTTGCATTTCACGTTCCAATAATTCAGACGTAAGCGCACGGTAGTTTATTTAATTCACGATACAATACCGTTCTTTCACGAACGAATGCTCACGTTTACTTTTTTTAATTGGAAATGTTTTTTTAATGATAGAATTCGATTTCCCTTGGAAAATTGAGAAAGAAACAAAATTGCGAGATATGAAATGCTACGTTCAGTTTCAATATTTGAAGGAAAACAAGGATATTAAACATTTTGTGTGTATACGAATTTCAGATTCTGAAAATATGACGATACTGTTATGCTTGTTTATTGAAAAATGTCTGTAAACAAATCGAAATGAGGAATCATGCAATTGGGGATATATTGAAATACAGAAAATGCATTATTACAGTTCTCTAATAAAAATACATACGATAATTCTAATAAATTATCAATGTACTAGAAATAAATGCGATTAAACCGCACTACGTGGTAAACATCCTGCAAAATTTATATTGAAGCAGAAAGTTCCGACAAAGAAAGAAAATTAATTATTCTCACACTTCCATGCAGTTCTACCGTATTATTAAAATAATAAACACAGAGGACTTGAGAAACAAAGAATCCAAAACGGTGGAGAAAGGAAATGGAAATGAGAGCGGAAGTCGTAAGTGAAACTGAACTCGTAAGATTTGTGAAAGGTCGAAGTTCGCAACGCCGTGGTAATTTGTAGCGGTGCGGAGGCAGATCGTCGCGCAGCTGCGATACTAACGAGATTATTATAAAATATGGACGAGGTTGTTAATCGATTGCCTTCATCCGATGCTCGTTAGGGAAATTCGCGAATCAGCTTCGGCGATCTGCTGGTAATTTCCACGCGGCACAGCGTTCGTTCGACGAGTCGTTGCCGAGAGAAATCGGCGAGACGAGGCGGTGCGCCACCGGCCCATTAAGATCGGGCTCGCGCAGATGACCGGAGAGCGACGTTAATGCGGCGTTAACGACTCGGCAAGCCAAACGCATGGCGGTGGTATTCGTTTATGGCTGTTAGAAATTGTTCCACGGACAACCGGAATGTCGATTATTACCGATAATGACGTTGACACTCTCCCTCGTCGCTTCGTGCTGAAGCGAATATTCTTTCACGCGTTGAGTGAACGCTCCTACTAGCGGATGTTTATGCAAATGCATAATGTATGTGTGTGTGTGTGTGTGTGTGTGTGTTTTTTTTTTTTGTGAGGAATTTAGCG